CTGTGATGTCTGCACTGGGAGGAAACTGAGAGCCTGTAAGTCCTGTCTGCAGTGTGTGGCCTCTTACTGTGACAAACACCTCCAGCCTCATTATGAATCACCTGTCTTTAAAAAACACAAGCTGGTGGAGCCCTCCAAGAAGCTCCAGGAGAACATCTGCTCTCGTCACTACGAGGTGATGAAGATGTTCTGCCGCACTGATCAGCAGTGTATCTGTTATCTCTGCTCTGTGGATGACCACAAAGGCCACGACACAGTGTCAGCTGCAGCAGAAAGGACTGAGAGGCAGAGAGAGCTGGAAGGGAGTCGACTAAACATCCAGCAGAGAATCCAGGACGGAGAGAAGGAGGTGAAGCTGCTTCAGCAGGAGGTGGAGGCCGTCAATGGCTCTGCTGATAAAGCAGTGGAGGACAGTGAGAAGATGTTCACTGAGCTGATCCGTCTCATGGAGAAAAGAAGCTCTGGTGTGAAGCAGCAGGTCAGATCCCAGCAGAAGAGTGAAGTGAGTCGAGTCAGAGAGCTTCAGGAGAAGCTGGAGCAGGAGATCTCTGAGCTGAAGAGGAGAGACGCTGAGCTGAAGCTGCTGTCTCACACCGAGGATCACAACCAGTTTCTGCACAGCTACCCCTCACTGTCAGCCCTCAGTGAAGCTACACACTCATCCAGCATCAACATCCGTCCTCTGAGCTACTTTGAGGACGTGACGGCGGCCCTGTCAGCAGTCAGAGACAAACTACAGGACGTCCTGAGAGAGGAATGGACAAACGTCTCACCGACTGAAGTGGAGGTTTTACTGTCAGCAGCAGAGCCCACCACCAGAGCTGGGTTCTTAACATATTCACAGGAGATCACACTGGATCCAAACACAGCACACACACTGCTGGTATTATCGGAGGGGAGCAGAAAAGCAACACGCATGGATGATCAGTCTTATTCTAGTCACCCAGACAGATTCACTTTATGTCCTCAGGTCCTGAGTAGAGAGAGTCTGACTGGACGTTGTTACTGGGAGGTGGAGCGGAGAGGGAGAGGAGTTGATGTAGCAGTCGCATACAAGAATATCAGCAGAGCAGCAGGGATGGAAAGTGGATTTGGAAACAATGACAAATCTTGGTCCTTAGTTTGTAACAAAAACGATTATTCATTTCGTTACAACAGTATCATCACTCCCGTCTCAGGTCCTCAGTCCTCCAGAGTCGGAGTGCACCTGGATCACAGAGCAGGTATTCTGTCCTTCTACAGCGTCTCTGAAACCATGACTCTCCTCCACAGAGTCCAGACCACATTCACTCAGCCGCTACATGCTGGAGTTTGGCTTCATTATGATCATGGAAACACTGCTGAGTTTTGTAAACTCAAATAGCCTGAAGTCATTGGAGGAACTCTTCTACTTCTTAAACTCACCGTGTCCATCAGAGCTGATTGTTCATGTCTTCACTGTGCAGAGATCAGCTGTCAATCAAACATTATGGGATGTGCTTCAACATCTTCTCATGAGTTGTTCTGTAAATGTTGGACTTTCTTCCGGCTCCTTCCTGTGTCTGTGTAGCCATGGAGGCTGTCACTGCTCCGGAGGCTCCTTGTTCACCTGAACTGATATGTAAACTTTGCTCTAAATATGTGTTGGATATTTCTTTTGATTCATGTTGTTGTTTCTCTTGTAATGCACGAGTCTTCAGAGAGAAAGCAGCAGAGCTTCTTTTATTGTACACATTTTATTCTGGCCACTTTCTAAAACAATAGAGACATTTATAATCACATGTATTATTTTGACAGATTAAATGTTATTGTTGCCCAAATTAACTACACATGAGTTCCCAGATGGTTATAACACTTATTTCATCATAACATGTTTATTTAAAATGATATTACTTACTGTCATGATCATAATCAATAAGTACATCATGTATTATTCTCCTGTAAATAGCTTAGAGTCTTTGCTTGGGAAATACATTGTATAATATTACAGTTATTTTTTTGCAGACTAATTGTTGTTGTTGTTGTTGTCCAAATAGAAATTGGGTACTCTGATGTTTTATAGAACATTAATTATCATGATAATAATCAATAAGGAAATCATGTATGATTCTGTTTGAAATAGCTGAGATGAAACACATTCATGGTGTGGATAAAGTGAAACTGATCATGAAATCATTGAACAGACTTTACTGATGGGATGTGTGATCAAATTAAATGTTTGGATCATTAATAAAGGTTTGTCTTTCAAAAACAAAAAATGTATGTTCTTCTTGTATTATGTCCATATACTATTATGCATTTCCTAGTTGTATCTTGTGCTTCTACTGTGACATGTTTCACAAAACACGTTACTTACAGATAAACAAATATAGCTGACAGCGTTAAAAGATAACTAGAGAATGCAATTCCTGAAGAAATAGCTAGTGGGAATGTGTCTCCCATCACCCCTGACATTACATTCTTTAATTCAAAGAAAATCAGTAATATTTTTAAAAACTACAAGTCCCTTTCTATCAGCTGTGCACCGTTATGGTGTAAATATAACCTATCTACCAATTGGATCAAATATAAAAGTCAGACAAATTAGTGTTGATACTGCAAGGAGACGTATTGTGTGAAAAGAAATGTAAGATGTTGTTTAATTGCTTATATATTTAAGATCCACGTCACGTATTCAGTTTCGGCGGCAGTTCCTGTTTGTCTAGAAGTCTTCTCATCAGGGCTCTATACATAAAGAGGGTTACCTTGGTTGGTGATTGGCTAATGGTTACACAACTACAAAATCGTTATGACATCATAAAGGGACCAAAATCTGATCAGCTCATTTTCAGACAGGTTTTTATAGAAATGGATCAGGACAAAAAGAGAGAGAATCTTTTTTCCTGAAACGTTCAGAATCTATTTACACAGAGGGGACACATGCTGATGTAGAAGAGACATGAAAAGGTGGATTTTGCATAATAGGTGACCTTTAAGTAAATAACTTGTTATGTAGTATAGTACACCTACATTACAGGAGGTCATGAAAATAGAAACAGAAATGAGTCCTGCCCCTTTATTGCATCTTCACGTGATACAGCATCAGTTCGAGGGAAAATTGATTTACATACAGTTACTATTATTCAAAGTGAACTCTACAGCCTGTGACCTGTCATTGGTCTGTTAGTAATCTCTTATTATATGAGTCACTGACGGATGTTCTTCCTCTTAATGCTCCACGCCTCTTTTGCTGCAGTTTTTCCCACATGCTTTCTACGTGAACTCCCCAGGTGACGATGAGAGGCGAATAATAGCATCACATGATGAGCAGAGACTCTCTGAAGTATCAGGAGGCCGAGGTGGGATCAGCTCTCGACCAATCAGAGCGCAGCTGTCCCTCCTGATACTGGACAGCAGCTCCGTCTTTCTTATCTTCAGCTCACCTCCACCTGCACACACCTCCATCTTTCTGAAGGGAGCTCACATTGACACGCAGGTAAGGTCTACCATGCAGCTTAACGGATAACTGGGACTTGTTAATGATGTGTTGTTATGTACAAAATAAGATTAAGATAAGATAATAATAGGAACAATAATTTAAATATGAATTAAAATCAGCATAAGGATAAGGGAAACAAATAAAGAAACAATTAAAAGAATAAGGATAAGAATATTATTTAAAATAAGAATAAAATAGCAAATAAATAATATACAAAAATGTACACGTAGAAAATAAATAATAATAATAAGGATAACAAAATAATTAAAATTAAATAAAAATAATAACAATAAGGATAAGGTTAATAAATAAATAAAATAATGAATAAATAAATAAATAAGAATAATAATACAAAATTAAAAACACTAAATGATAGAAACCACTAACATTCTAAAAAAAGATAATTATAATAATAGATTTAATTTATATAGCGCCTTTCAAGGACCCCATGGCCGCTTTACAAGTTAAGAGTTAAGGACAGACAACAAAACAAACAAACAAACAAACAAAGTAAGGCAAATAATAGAGTGAAATAAATAAATAACAGTAGGAGTGGAAGCACTGTGAAGGGTTAGGGGTCAAAGGCCATGGGGAACAGGTGAGTTTTTAATGATGACTTGAGGGAGTCAGCATTGATCTGAGAAGTTACAGTATGTAAACCATGTTGTTTTTTGTTTATGTTATCATTTATTATACCTGTAGGTAAATTAAGTGTTAGTTACCGTAATCTTTAAATGTTACTTCTTCCTCTGTTTGTTTTTGATTCTTATACTGCCGTCAAACACTGAGCACACAGGAGATTTTACAGCAGCTTCTTTCTGTGTTTTTAGTTTGTTCTTCTCCCCACGAGGCCTGATCCTCCTGGAGATAGATGGCTCACCTGCCTCTCAGACGCCATGGCAACTTGCCCCAGAGGCGAGCCACTCTGTTGCCCCGGGTAACGAAGAGCAGAGCACACCTGGAGGACGGTTCACCTGAGACCCGGTCAAACCCTGCAGGAAATGCAGAGAAGCCACGCCAAGCCCAACACGTTACAGAGACACAAGCAAACGTAAAAGTGGAGGATTTCGTGATTAAGGAGAAGGTAATCATTACAGCTGACTCATAAGAGTTAAGGAGGGTGATTGATATGTGAATACACTTTTTGGAGTGTTGACATGTATTCTCTTTTTCATAAAGTTTTGCAGCTCTGGAATTTGTGAGATGGAAAAGCAGTCAAACCGGTCCTGCAATGGAAATACAAGAGCAGTCTCTCCGTCATGTGTCAAACTAAAACCTGAGAAAGATGTGGCGATTTTATTGAAGAGAATAAGGTAAAATTACACAGTTGAACGCAGTCGCCTCAAAACAATGGGAACAAATGTAATTAAATAAATGGTTTGATGTCTTGGGGAATATCCTTTCTCCAAGGAGTTATATGAGAGAAAGCTAATTAGTGTATTTCCCCCAAAAGAGCCCAACAATTCCTTTATTGATAAATGGGAATTCAGGATTTATGAACAAATGTTAAACCACTGACCAAAATCGAGATTTACTGACCAAGATGTCTTTCCACAGGATTCACCCGGAGGCCCAAAGGATTCTGGGTAACTCCAGAATCCCCGTAGTGGTAATGGAGCGTCTGAACATCCGGTCCCTGTCCTGTCTGCAGCCGGTCGTCTCTCTGGTGCGTCTGCCCTGCCCAACACCAGCTGAGCTCCACAATAACACGTCCTGCTCACATCGTCCTCAACAGGTACAGAGATTAAAGGTCCCCTATTATACTGTTTTTAATCAATATATTATAGGTCTCAGATATATACAAAACATGTCTCTGAAGTGTTTGGCTCCAAACCCCAAACAGATCATTGCAGCATCCCATAATCCCCTTTGTTTCAGCCCTGTTTCCAAAGTGCTGATTCTCTGTCTGTTACTTTATGGCGCGTTTCCACTACACGGCCTCGCTCGGTATGGCTAGGCCTCGTTAGGACTGGCTCACTTTATGGCGCATTTCCATTACAGTTTAGGAACTGGGGTAGTATCTATAGTAACGCAGTGTAGGCGGAGCCGTGACGTCATCTTCAATGAGAACCCCAGAAAAACAACACAGCCGTTAGCTGTTAGCACTCAGAGCTCACAGCTCCTCATATATGTTCAGAAACTAGACAAAAGTTAAACAAGTACAAACCACAGACTGCCTGTGTCATGGCGAATACAGTCGCTGCTTTATTTATGTCTGTATAGGCCGTTGTTGTGAGTGTGGACGGTCGGAGCATATACTGCGTTAGCTTAGCCAATCTCCATTTAGAAAACACGCATTTTAAAAGGTTTTTCGCCTGCCGTCTGTCTGCAGACTTGTCAAAGCATTAATTCATGGTTTTTACTAACCGGTATCAGTATGTTGTTACTTCGGCATTATTTTGAAACGTGTATTACAATTAAATCACGGTCAAATATGTCCATCTTGTTGTAGTTGTAGCCCCCTTGCCAGCAATGCTCTCTCTAGTTTAGCATACTCAGCCCGACTCAGCCTCGTTGTCTCTGGCCCAAGACCCATGATTTTATGAGGCCAGAAAAACTGTGAATTAGGACCCGCCGGCCGGTACTAGGCCAAGTGGAAACGCAACCAAAGACGGGCCGCTGACGTCACAGCCCTCTTAAACCGTGCTCCGCGCTGTAGTGGAAACGCGCCATTAGATGAAAATAAGGAGCCACTCCCCACGCCCCTCTGAGAGATATTTGGTTACAAAGAACACATTAGGTGCTTTAGGAGGAGATTCACGTGATAAGGTGGGGGGGGGGGGGGGGGGGTTACCTAGGTTGGTGATTGGCTAATGGTTACACAAGACAAAAAAACATTATGACATCATAAAGCGGCCAAAATCTGATCAGCTCATTTTCAGACAGGTTTTTATATAAATCGATCAGGACAAAAAGTGAGAGAAGCTTTTTTCCTGAAACTTTCAGAATCTCTTCACACAGAGGGGACACATGTTGATGTAGAAGAGACTTGAACAAGTGCATTTTGCATAATAGGTCCCCTTTAAGTTTAGTTTACACACAGCACTTTCAATTCAAAGCACAATATGTAATGTGTGCCCAAAATGCCCAGCATTCAAGAGGTCATAATACACTTCATTTTGTTGGGTGATGTTCGCGGCTGTGTTTAAACTCAGTCATCAGTGTTTCTTCAAAGCTGTTCGGCTGTTGTTTGCTCAGATTGTTTCTCTGATAACTTAAAAACGTTATCTTGTTATAAAATGTGATAAAGCGACCATTATCTAAACACTGTATTGTCAAAAACAGCTTAAAAATGCATGCAAAGTCAATTCATTACGGCTCCTTGAAGACGACCACAACACTGAAGCATGCAAAAAAGGAGACAGGATTAAAGACCACCAGATAAAACGCCTATACTTTGAATAAAATTTATGATTTTCTTTCAGTTTGCAAATTGTTGGAACACTGAGTATACAGCTCAACATAATATATAACAGGTTCAGTGATGTTTGTCATATATTTTACATTAGCTCTTTCTGCCCCTTTGTGTCTCTCTCTGCAGAATGGATTCAGTCACCATGAGGAAAACATTTTGGAGATAAAAGAAGAGACACCTCAGTGCGATCTAATCCAAACAGAAACCTCTCAGCCCTCCTGGACTGAGCCGTACTGTCCCGACCTCTCGCCCTCCAGAGAGCCAGAGAGGGACTCCGGCTTCGACTGTGACTCTAATCCGGATCAGCCGTACATCCTGTTTGATTCTGGATCTGAGGAATGGGACCTGGACGTGAAAACAGAGTCAGAAACATTTTATCTGGATTCAGATCTAGAGCACAGCCTGGTGATCGAACTGGATCCAGAAGAACCAGAAGAAGCTGAGCCGGATGTGAAGCTGGAGGAAGAAGCAGAAGCAGAGCCGGATCTGAAGCTGGAGGAAGAAGCAGAAGCTGAGCCGGATCTGAAGCTGGAGGAAGAAGCAGAAGCAGAGCCGGATCTGAAGCTGGAGGAAGAAGCAGTAATTAAATGTGAAGAAGTAAAAATGGACGACAGTGTAGATCTTTGTTGCTCACAGGAGGAAGAAGTGTCATCGCTGCAGAAACCTGGACCTTTAGGAGTGGAGGAGAGTGAGGACTTCTGCGGTGTTTGTCTGAACGGAGGAGAGCTGCTCTGCTGCGACCGCTGCCCCAAAGTCTTCCACCTGATCTGTCACATACCTCCACTCACCTGCTTCCCTCTGTAAGTGCTGTTAGACCTGGTACTAAAACACTATTTTAACCATTATCTGCTAAACAATCAACTATGTGACTCAGGCCGATTTACTATTTTTGTTACTATATATCGGTATTGATGATATTGATTTCATGATGTGAATAATCCTGCACCCCTAAATCATTTTACACTCTCTCTCTGCCTTACTTATATATTGAATGTAATTCATTTTCCCAAAAGAAAAGACACAATGCAAAAGTAGACAAAGTTTAGGATGAATTTGACTGACTCACTTATTGTTTTTTAAAGCAAATGTTCCATTGACATTGCAATAAATCATTTTGTTTAAAAAAAAAGATACTTTTTGCATGTTACTTTTGAACACAGTCTACAATGGCACATTATGATTCCAACATTTTTAGCTTCTACCTAAAAATGAATGATGCATTTCCTACAAACCAATAGGCCGGGTATCTAAAGAGTAAGATTAATGTTAGGGAACATTAGCACAATTCAAGAGAAAAGAGGAATAAAACTAGCACACTTTATTGAAATCAAGGAATATGTCACCTAAAAGCAGTGTGCAATCTCATAAGTAATATCAGGCTTTGGTTACACAGACAACACTTGATTTCAGAAAAGAAAGAACATTTCACCTATTTTAAAGGTCACCTATTATGCAAAATCCACGGTTTCCTGTCTTTTCTACATCAACATGTCCCCCCCCCCCTCTGTGTAAAGAGACTCTGAAAGTTCCAGGAAAAAAGATTCTCTCTCTTTTTGTCCTGATCCATTTCTATAAAAACCTGTCTGAAAATGAGCTGATCAGATTTTGGCCACTTTATGATGTCATAACGATGTTTTGTCTTGTGTAACCATTAGCCAATCACCAACCAAGGTAACCCCCCCCCCCACCTTATCACCTGAATCTCCTCCTAGAGCACCATTGTGTTCTTTGTAACCAAATATCTCTCAGAGGGGCGTGGGGAGGGGCTCCTTATTTTCATCTAAAGTAACAGACAGAGAATCAGCACTTTTGAAACAGGGCTGTAACAGAGGGGATTATGGGATGCTGCAATGATCTGTTTGGTGTTTGGAGCCAATCAGAGACATGTTTTGTATATATCTGAGACCTATAATATATTGATGAAAAAAACACTATAATAGGGGACTTTTAATGCTTAATGAAGTAATGAGTGTCCTGTGTGTGTCCCGTGTGTCCTGCAGAGGGGACTGGGTGTGTTCCCTGTGCAGAACTGAGCAGGATCCTGAAGAGAGCTACGCTTGTGAGAAGCAGCCCTCCTGTGGGGGAGTCAGAGCTCCGTACACCCTCTCCCCCCAGAACCAGAGGGTGAGCCGCAAGGGGGGAGTCACTCTGACCCTCACCACATACATTTGCACAACTGAAAATATGTTTTTTTGGTGACCGTGTGTGTTTGTGTTTGTGTGTGTGTGTGTTTCCTGCAGAGGTGTGAGAAGTTGACTCTGCTGTTGTACTGTCACACACTCAGCGCTCCGTTTCATGAACCTGTCAGCACGCTGGTCAGTACAACAGATTCACATCTAAACATATCTATTAACAAATATATATATACATTAAAGGTAGGGTAGGTAAGTTTGAGAAACCGGCTCGAGATCGCTAAAATTTGAAAATACACAACCGGAGAAAATCTGCCACTTCCTTATAGAGCCCCTCCTCCAACACACACGAACGGGATTTTTTGTCAAAGCACTTAAGATATTCATTGCTATCGGGATGTTAAGAGCATTCCATGGAATATAACAACAAGTGTATCTCGAGCCGGTTTCTCAAACTTACCTACCCCACCTTTAATATTTAAATCGTAAACAACACTGTCTGAGTCAGTGTTGTCTTTTAAGTTTCATCCAAAATGAAAAAGCCAACTTTTATCTTCAAGATTATCCTGACTTTATCTGGGGGGTTTGTTATATTGGTTGTATATGTATTGTTTTTAGTCATTATGTGAGTGGTTAAAACAACCTGCAGTCTCACTGTACTCTACTTTTCATCTAAGCATATTTAAAATGACAACAGTCTCTCTCACAATGCTGTAATGTCTGGTAATGTGCTGCAGGCCAGAAACTACTACCAGATCATCCGGAGGCCCATCGACCTGTCGCTGATGCGCAGGAAACTGGACAAGAGCAACACGCTGCACTACTTCAGCGCCGAGCAGTTTGTGGACGACGTGCTGCTGATGTTCAAGAACTGCTCCAGGTTCAATTACGTGAGTGCATTTAATCGAATTTCTGAAGTTATTTCATTATTTCAGCGCTATCACCCAGTGTTTCTCAAATGAGGGTACTGGAACCCCAAGGGGTACTTTGACATAAATCAAGTTAAAAGGAACTAAAAAGACGTTTAGTGAGTGAGACATTTAATATCTGAGTGCTAATGGAGTTTTAAATGTAGCTGACATATCTCAACATCTATTTAATGGATTTTCTTGGAGGCAATCAAAGTCTGCAGGATGATTCCCTCTGATTTTGGTGAGCCACTGACTTTTTATTTAATGCCATTGCATTAAAGAGGACGTATGATGCTCATTTTCAGGTTCATATTTGTATTTAGTGTCTCTAATGTGACATGTCTCCATGATTTAATGTTCAAAAAGCTCTTTATTTTTCTCATACTGCTTGTGCTGCAGCACCTCTTTTCACCCTCTGTCTGAAACCAGAGCCCAGGCTGCTCTGTTGTGATTGGTCAACCACTCAGAGATGTCCCGCCTCTTAGCCTATCACGTACAATGTGTTGCATGTTGATGTCACTATAGAGAGGCGAAGTCCCGCCCATCTACTTCCGACCCATGGGACCTTATTTCGGAAAAATTATGCATTAAAGTCAATGGGGAGAGAAAGATTATCTTTCGATCCCGTTTGAGTTGTGCCACGAATTACACATATGATGTTTGTCAATCTTAAAAAATAATTTCCATGTCAAAAAAGTCACAGTTTGTCGTAAAACTGTTGAAATAAAAGACTATGAAAAATATGCAACTAGAAAGACTACAAATCCCAGAATCCCGGTCCCGCATGCTGGCTCTTACGGAACCGACTAACTCCCCTTGTGTGTATGTACAGCTCTCAACATGCCCAGACTTGTAGTGATTTTCACCTCTTTTAATACTTTTCGCCTCATTCTGAAAGAAAGAAGTGAAATGTGCCAACGTGACGGCCGTCTTGGTGTGTGGTGCGAGATGGGAGATGTAGTTCATTGAGCGGTTTCACACAAAAATGTGTTACTTCACAGTTTTACGACACATTTTAATTTTTTTGACTTGCAAAATTATCTTTTAAATTGACAAACATCATATGTGTAATTCGTGGTACAATTCAAACGGGATCGAAAGATAATCTTTCTCCCCATTGACTTCAATACATACTTTTTCCTAAATAAGGTCCCATGGAGCTCCCCCGGAAAGGGAGGGACTTCGCCTCTCTATAGTAACGGAAGTAAACAAAGAGAGAGGGAGCAAACTATAGTCTATAAATCTTCTTTCCCTGGATACATAACGTTTTAAACTACTTGTATACTTCACATGTTCTCTTTCTGCTGTGCAGCCCGACTCAGAGGTGGCTCAGGCCGGTCGCAGTCTGCAGGAGTTTTTCTCAAGCAAACTGAAGGAGATTTTTCCCGACCGGACGTTCCCATCGACCGGCCTCCAGCGAGCCAACAGAGCTGAGCTTCTGAGGGTCTGCAGGAGGAGGAAGGAGGACCACAGGAGGAGGAGACATGTGTTCAGTGGGAAGAAATACTACCTGTAACTAGTTTTGATCATAAAGCTGCCCTGAAGCCTTGTTCTTTTGTACTAATGGAGAGAATCTTGAACAGGAGTTCTTTATTTATTTTGAAAAAAATCACAATCATTTGTACTTTTTTATGAAAAGAGTACATCATATTTTTGCTCTGTTTTCAGATATTTTCACAGAATTCCCTTAGATATTTATATTATTTTATTCAATATAATTGAACGCCATTATGTGTGATCCTGATGTTATCTTTTACAGCAGCTAAAGCTAAAGTAAGGATGTAAAAAACTACTTTTTCCAACGTGTAAAAAGTCTTAATTCTTGTACCTGGGGTTTATGACCATTGGCTTACTAAAGTTTTTGTATTGTTTGATTACATTTAACATCAACCAATGTCACATACAATGTTAAGAATAATATGAATTAAATTTAAATAAAACAGAAACAAAGCAGACGCTATTGATGAGGGAGGCGTGTGGCACAGTGGACTAGTGCGTTGGTGTTCAGATTAAGGGAGCACAGGTTCAAACCCCACTGCAGTCAGCATGTCGTTGTGTCCCTGGGCAAGACACTTCACCCCAAATTGCTCCTGTGGGGATTGTCCACAGTATTGAGTATGTAAGTCGCTTTGGATAAAAGCGTCTAACAAGTAACATGTAATAATGTAATGTAATGATGAAGTAAATTCATCACTAAAAAAGACTTCACACAGATCTCCCAGCAGGGGGCGTGTTTGTCTCTCACTTTAAGTTGGATTGCATGAACACAGTCAAAGGTCTGAAATAAGATTTGATTATTCCCTTTCCACTCCCCCTGCTGGTGTCTGCACAAAGTCGGTTGATTTAGAGATCATGAGGACAGACAAACATGTGTCTTCATTACCATAAACAAATAAAAGATGAGAAAATAAGGTGTTTTCTGGAGTTTGTTTGTGGTGCTCTTATAAGGATACAGCTGAATATCATACTATCAAAACAAATCTCCAAGACAGTCTCTTTTTCATCAAAGCCTTATTTTAATTGTACATTTCAGACCAATTCGGCATGAAGCCTTAGTCCGGGGGAGTCAAAGAAAATAGATGAAATAAGACAGATAAGAAAAACAACCAAACAAAATGAATAAGGTTGTTTTCTTTGGAATTGACTCTAAAAGAAAATCGTACAAACGTCAGATGTTTCTAAATCCTGATGTGGATACCAGACGCTGTTTCTTTTGGTGGTCTGCTCACTTCACTGCTGTCATTTTCCGATTGTGGTTTCACCTTTTTAGCGCTAAAAATAATATTATTTTTGAAAGAGTTGAGGGACGATGTGTTCTTCCAAGATTCAGCTCAGTGAAGTAATATGTCAAAAAGGAGCAAGAAATGCATTTAGAGCTCATGCACTTTAGTCAAAACGCTCTTCCACGTAATGTAATATACCAAGAAATGTGCACCATGAGTGCTTTATACCCCCTGAACCCAATAAAAGACTTTCAAATGGAGAAAATCTGTTCCATCGATGATAAAACACCCTGTGAGCCGGCCTGAAACACTTTGATCTGAGTGCACATCCACCGGGATCTGAGAAAGGTTCATGAAGACGGACAGAGAGAGAGATGAGAGGCGGCCTGCAGCCCTGTGGCTAATGTAAGGATAAAATGGGGGAAATTGACCGTGAGATGTTTTCAAAGGAAGGTTTATTCCCCTCTTGTGTCTTTTAAACCCACTTTATTCAGCCCAGTAAACTCAGTCACATGTCTGCTGGCTTTCTTTCTTTCTCTGTCTCTGTCTCTTTCTCCCCCCTGTGTTGTAATGTGCAGATGTTTCACTTAAAAACATCAAAAGAACATCTTATGCAGCTCCTCATGTCTGAGGTTAGGTGAATCACTGTCTAAAAGAAGTGAAAAGCAGACGCTCGTGCAGCTGCACCGATAAAACACATCTAATGTTTACACCAATCTCAAGAGCATGCATTAGCCTCATTGAGTCACACGATATTTGTCATTTATTCCACATTCACCACTTTCGAAAAGTTGTTTAAGATTAACTTCCTCCAAAAGTGGCCGTCCAAGATTAGTTGGGACTCTTTGTATTTTTTTAGGATCATTTTGACTCATTGCCTCACTCACATTGCTGATATGTTAATCCATTAAAGCACTATTTGCTTGAATCTTGTCTTGAGATAAGTGCGGGATGTTTTCTTTGAACTGTGTTGAGTGCTGACAGTGTGAGAAACATTTATCACTTTTTATGACCAAAGTAAAGGTAGGAAAGGAAGTCAGGACATGTTTGACCATATTTTTTAACTGTATCTCAAAGTGAAATCTCAGAGATATCACACATAAAGATGACAATGATGATATTTGGATGTTTTATAAAGCCAGAAACCTCCAAAAATAAAAAGCTTAAAGACTATGACAGACCATCAGTCGTATCACTTCTGAATTTTAAAGGGGCCCTATTGTGCTTTTTGGGGTTTTCCCTTTCCTGTAGTGTGTATGTTTTTGTGCATGTAAATGGTCTGCAAAGGCTTAAACCCCAAATTTCACTCCCACGCTCTGGTTTCAGACAGAGGGTGAAAAGAGGTGCTGCAGCACAGGCAGTATGAGAAAAATAAAGAGCTTTTTGAACATTAAAGGTCCCCTATTATACTGTTTTTCATCAATATATTATAGGTCTCAGATATATACAAAACATGTCTCTGAAGTGTTTTGCTCGAAATACCAAACAGATCATTGCAGCATCCCATAATCCCCTCTGTTTCAGCCCTGTTTCAAGGGCAAAGACATGGAAAAAGTAGATTTTGCATAATAGGTCCCCTTTAAAGCACATGTGTCAAACTCAAGGCCCGGGGGCCAAATCCGGCCCTTGGTGGATTTAATTTCGGCCCGCAGGATAATTTCTAATTACTATTAGATCTGGCCTGGCGGTATATTGCACGCACACCTTCACTCAATCCTGAGGGTCTCCTCAGCTCAGAGCCTGACCCCAAACATTGATGAACTTGCACCCAAGATGAGATGCCAAGTATCTGGCTTGAACTAGCATCACAGAGCAGCACACTGAGTTTCAATGGATGTTTCCTTCTGCACATTTTTTCTTGAGACAACAGGGCATGTTTGGTTTTTTCTTTGAGGGGAATAGTTTTTTTGAAGCTGTTGTTGGCCTGTGGAAAAATGTAATCATAAGAAATGACTCTGGAAAAGCTGCAGATAGAGCCATAAGAAATGAATGCAACTGATTATTTAATGTTTAATGTTGTTTTTATTGGCAATCATTTAAGCTTTGTTAGTTCCAGGTGTAATATGTGCAATAAGTTCATTTCAATACGTTTTGCAATAAACATTGAACCAGTCCGGTCTGTTTTTTTTATTTTGGCCCACTGTGTATTTGAGTTTGACACCCTGCAGTAGAGGAACAAAATACAAATATGAAACCTAAAAACGAGCATAATAGGGCCTCTTTAACATCTCAGCTGGGGAAACATGTTGAGAACATCTCCTGTGATGCCCAAATTTGAGAAGCATATTGAGAGGTGACTAGAAAAAGGGGAATGAAGGTGGCTGTACCACTGAGCTTCAGTACAGTAACATGTTCAAGATGTTTATGTGAATCTGTGAAAGGAACGAATGACCCAACAGGCACGAGACGGGACAATCATCAGCTTTAGATTTAAAGGGGGCAATTTTTAAACATGAAAGCCACATTAACTCAGATTTCTTGGAACAATTACTGAGCCAAACCTCTGTGGAGATGATTGATCGACTCTCAAGTCAGCTGTGTTATTTCTGTGAAAGTGGCTACAGATTAGGAACACGTTTACCATAAATCATGCCATTTCCTGAAACAAAATCAAAGGTGGGGTTTTCTTGAAAAAGAAAAATAAGGCTGATTGTGATTTCCCCCCCATGTTTTCAATACTGACATCATCCTTCTCCCAGCTGCTGTTTTGAGATGTTTTGCAGAAGAAGAACAGCACTCTTTGCTAGTTTTGTGGCAAAGGCAGTCCAGCATTTCACTAATAAAATAGAAACTATATCATAAAACATGATTTAAGATTTGGTAGAGATCAAAGACTGATTATAGGAAGTGGAAATAATCACCTTGACTTCAACAATGGATTTGTAAACAACAGTTTTCAATCCTCGAAGTTCAGCTGATGCTAGGCTAAGCTACGCTGACATAAACAACACAGTTGGCTTTGCTTGTCATGTTAATTTGTTTATTTGTTATTTTTGGTTTCTTATGAACCGTGTACGATTAAACTATGCCTTCAAATAAAAAAAGCAAGTTAAGTTAAGGTTAAAATTAGGTACAGCAAATGAAACGACAAATGGCTAATCTAGGCTAATGTGCTAAACAAGCTTCAACCACTTTACCTTTCTTGTGTAAGAATTAAGTTTCACTACACGCTAAACATTGTTATTGTTTTGTTTCTATAACATTACATCATTTAGCAATTAACCCAGCTATGCCATGATGAAATTCTCAGTCCAACATAACCTTTCACATCCATCAAACATAGATTATCTCATTTTCACAGTAAAAACAGAAACCTCCAGACAGACTCCTGCTGCAGCACAGACGTTATGCAATGACGTTGTACTGTGGGGCCCTTTGATGTTGTTCTGTGTGTGTGTGTGTGTGTGTGTGTGTGTGTGTGTGTGTGTGCGTGTGTGTGTGTGTGTGTGTGTGTGTGTGTGTGTGTGTGTGTGTGCGTGTGTGTGTGCGTGTGTGTGTGTGTGGGCACATGACGTCGTCCTATCATGTGAAAGCCTCTGCAGCCACGTGTTGATCAGCGCTGGATAAATGGCCTTTCCCTCTTTGTCTGATTAAGAGCTGTCATGGATGGCTGAGTCTTCAACACAGGAATGTCCATTGATAAGTTTTCACAAAGAGAAGCATACGATTTTATTTAAAATTCCTGTATTATTGGAGCATATCGTTCTTTCTGCAGCTGATTAAGGTCACAAGCTCAGGTGCTTCAGCGATTAAAATTCTTACTTTAGAGATTATGTTGATTAGGGAACATTTATTTTTCTCTTTCATAATTTCCCCTTTTTTTTAAGTGACGTGTTTTTA